CTGGTGAGAATGTAAATTAGTCTAACTATTGTAGAAAACAGTATAGGAGATATAAAAAAATTAAAAATAGAAATGCCATATGATCCAGTAATTGCACTACTAGGTATTTGCCCAAAGATCAAGAAAACACAAATTCAAAAAGATATATGCACCTCTATATTTATTGCAACATTATTTATGGTAGCTAAAATATGGAGTTAACTCAAGTGTCCACTGATTGATGAATGGATAAAGAAGGTGTGGTATATATCTATACAACGAAATATTACTCAGCCATAAAAAACAACAAAATCTTGCCATTTGCAACAACACAGCCAGACCTAGAGGATATTATGCTAAGTGAAATAAGTGAGAGAAAGACAAATACCATATGATTCAACTTAAATGTGGAATCTAAAAAACAAAACAAAAACCAGACACTTAAATACAGAGAACAAACTATTGGTTGCTCGAGGGGAGGTGAGTGGAATGATGGGCAAAATAGTGAAGGGGATTAAGAAGTACAAACTTTCACTTGTAAAATATACAAATCATGGACATGAAAAGTTAATCATAAAGAAATATAGTAAATAGTACTGTAATGTATGGTGACAGCTGGTAACTATACTTATTGTGGTGAGACTGAGTCATGTATAAAATTGCGCAATCACTATGTTGTACACTTGAAACTCATATAACATTGTATGTCTTCTATACTTCAATAATAAAAAATAAAGTAGCAAAAAATAGTGGGCATAGAGGGAATGTACCTCAACATAATAAATAATTCCTATGACAAGCCCCTAGGAAACATCATACTCAACGGTGAAGAGCTGAATGCCTTTCCTCCAAGATCAGAAACAAGACAAGGATGCCCAGTTTTGCCACTTTTATTCAACATAGCATAGGAAGTCCTAGTCAGAGTAACTAGTCAAGAGAAAGAAATAAAAGGCATCCAAATTAGAAGGGAAGAAGTAAAACTGTCACTATGTGCCGATGACATTTTGTATAGAAAATGCTAATGAGCACCAAAAACCTGTTAGAACTAATAAACCAAAGTTATAGGACACACAATCAATACAAAAAGTCTGTTGTATTTCTAGACTAATAATAAACTATAAGAGAAATTAAAGCAATTCTATTTATAATTGTATCAGAAAAAACAAAATATCTAGGAATAAATTTTTTTTATGAACTGAAAACTATGACATTAGTGAAAGAAATTGAAGATTATGCAAGTAGATATTCTGTGTTCATCGATTGGATGAATCAATATTGTTAAAATGTTCACACTACTCAGCAATCTACAGATTAAATGCAATCCCTGTAAAAATTCCAATGGTGTTTTTCACAGAAATAGAAAAATCAATCTTAAAATTGGTATATAACTGCAAGAGATCCCAAATAGCCAAAACAATTGCCAAAAGCTGGAGGTATTATATACCCTGCTTACAAACTATTAAAAAATTATCGTAATCAAAACAGAGTGGTTTGGCATAAAACTAGACACACAGTTGGAACAGAATAGAGGGGCCAGAATCAGACCCATGCATATATGATTAATTAATTTTTGACAAAGGAGCCAAAAATATACAATGGGGAAAGGACAATCTCTTCAATAAATTGTGCTGGGAAAACTGGACAGCCATAGGCAAAACAATGAAATTGGACTACTCTTAAACCATACACAAAATTTAACTCAAAATAGATTAAGGACTTGAACATAATTCTTAAAATCCTAGAAATCAAAGAAAACATAGGCAGGAAGCTCTTGGACATCTTTTCAAATTACATTTTGAATCTGACATGAAAAGCATATGGCAAATCATATTTGGGTTAATATCTAAAATACGAAAAGAACTTTTGCATCTCAATTTCAGAAAACCAAACAATGCAATTTTAAAAAGGCACAGGATCTGAATAGACATTTTCCTCAAGAAGATATACAGATGGCCAACAGGTACATGAAAATGTGCTCAAGATCACCAGGCATCAGTGAAATGCAAATCAAAACTGCAAGGAGATATTACCTTGTACCTATTAGAATAGCTAGTACCAAAAAAAGAAGAAATAACAAGTGTTGGTGAGGATGTGGCAAAAAGGGAACCCTTGTGCACTACTGGTGAGCATGTAAAGTGATGCAGTCACTATAAAAAACAGTATGTAGGTTCCTCAAAAATTAAAAATTGAACTACTCTATTAGCCAGGAATTCCATCTCTGAATATTTATCCAAAAAAATGAAAACACTAACTTCAAAGGATATATGCATCTCCATGTTCATTGCAGCATTATTTTCAAGAGCCAAGATATAGAAACAACCTAAGTATCCATCAGTGGATGAATGTATAAAACGTGGTACATACACACACAAAGGAATATTATTTATCCATAAAAAGGAATGACATCTTGCCATTAGTGATAACATGTGTAGACCTTGAAGGCATAAAAGTCAAATAAAGCAGACAAGGACAAGTACTGTGTGATTTCATATGTGGAATCTAAGCAATGACTCCTCCTCCTGGTTAAAGAGGTGGGGGCTGGGGATAGGTGAAATATGTGGAGGGGGTCAAAGGGTAAAAACTTCCAGTTATAAAATAAATATGTCATGGAGATGTAATATATAGTATGGTGACTACAGGTAATAATACTGTATTAACTATTTTAAAGTTAAGAGTCGATCTTAAAATCTTATCACAAGAAAAAAATTATTTCTAATTATGTATAGTAACAGATGTCAATTAGGCTTGTTGTGGGGAATCATTTTGCAATATATACAGATGTCAAATTATATGTTGTACACCTGAAATTAATATAATGGGTATATGTCAGGTATACCTCAATAAAAAAAATTCATTATTCAAAGCTCTGCTCCAGTCCTGCCATATCAGATTTTGTATTTTTAACAACATGATTCACATTAAAGCATGAGACATACTTGCCTAGAGGGTTATAGAAGAAAGGAGATAAGAGTGTTATTTGAAGGGAAGGAAGGGAGAAGGACCTTTTTTTTTTTCTCTTTTAGAAAAAGTAATCACTGAGAAATGATCAGCATGTACAATGTATGTCCCCTTTAGTGACCTCAGTGGTACAACATAGAAACATCTCCCGTGTGTAGCCAGGTCTGTTCCCAATTGTAATTTCACAAACTGTCAGTAAGCCTTGCGGGCCTAGAAGCAAAGCTGCCTTGGGCTGAATGACAGCTAGCAGAAGTGGGCTTTTCCAGGTAAGGGAAAGATGATATCCCCCAGGCATCAGAGCAAAAAGCAGCTCATGCCTCTTTGATTATGAAGCACATACATTAGGTCACTGGAAATAAAGGCGGGGGGAGGGGAGTGGGGGTCGGTGAAGGTGCCAAAAAGGAGCTGGCTGTTGATTGGCCAGCTTTGAGCATTATATTATCCCCAGACTCACCTGAGACACAAATGGCTTATGGATTGCAAGTGAATTCTGTGGCCAGAGTTCCTCCAAATAACATTTGATCTTCATTAGAGATGGCCACAGTATATTAACCTAACGGGAAGTTCCAAGTGATTGTTTTCCAAAGAACATACCTCAGGGTGGGGACAGAGGAACGTGAGTGCAGTAATGTGTGGATAGCCAGTTCCAACAAGTTTTGAGTTGCTAGCTGCCCAAAACATCCAGTCACATTAGTTCATATGGTCACACAAAGAATTAAGAGCCTTGTGGTGGTTTTGGGCTGTCCCAGCAGGCCAAGCTTAATGGCATGTTTCAGACACCAATCACACACTCAGGCAGAGTGTCAGAATGGTCAGCCTACCAATCAGTGCCAGCCTCTGACAAACAAGCGTTGCTACCATATAGCTGGTGGGCTGGGTACTAGCTGGTCATCAGCCCTGGCAGGCAGCTCATAGGTGCTGAGTAGGTCCCCAGTAGGTTTTGAACACAGACTTTAAAAGGAATGGAGCATACACAATTATGTCATTTCCCCTAAGCACGACATTGAATTTTTTTTTTTTTAAGTGACAGCAACATTCTAAAACAGAGAAGTGGTCAGATGAGTAATAAAACTCCTCTTTGTCTAAATAGAGGGTCTATGTACCTGCACTGGGGAAAGCCTAGGCCTCTATTTGCAATGTAGATTCCTACCTGGTGCTACCTGGCCCAGAAATGACATGAGAACAACGGGAAGATGCCTCAGTGCCTCCCATCCCTCTGAGGCTGCTTTGTCGTGGCATAGTTTCTGTCATTGCTCAGGTTTGCTCTTCCCCAGGAGAATCTTCAGTTTGTGTTAATTTTTAAAATCACAACTAAACAAAATTTCCTTTCCAATGGAGAGAGTCCTATATAACAAAGAGGCTCCCTCCCTACTGGGGTCTAAGGAGCCCCCATTTCTGCTGTGTATTGAGCTAACCTGGGACTTTTTTGGCTGTCCTCTGGTTGAGAATTGAGAAAGGATTTGGTGGTTTCAAAGTGATCTAGCTAGGCTTCAACTCTTCTTGACTTGGAATAGTGGTTTCTCTCCTCTGGCTGCACACCAGAATCTTCTGTGTAGTTTCTAAAATTTGCCCATGCCCCAATCCCACCCCTGAGCAACTGACTTAGAATCTCAGGGAGGTGCAGCCTTGACATTGGTCTTTTAAAGAAGTTTCTCCAGTGATTCTAATTGTGTAGCCCAGTTGAGAACCCCTCACTCAGCCCCCGAATGGATCTCATCAGAGCTTTAAATCATCAACCATAGGACAGCCAGTGAGAAGAGGTGGCCTTACAGAAAATGAGTCTGAAGAAGGGGTTGTTGAGGATTTGCTGATGATCTGAAAAAGGGATGAGCTCGGGAGGAAGGAAATCAATAGGGAAAGTATAATGGCTGTGGGAGGTAGGTTTGTCTTAGAGAATGATCAGAAACTCTAAGCTTTGGGATAGATACTGGGCAGGTGAGTTGATTGACAGATGGGATGTGAAGTGTGTGAGATCACAGAGGATTTCCCAGTGGTGACATTTTACTTCCTACTGCGGCAGGGTCTGTACCTTTAGATTTACCTTTCAAATAAAATCCACTCACCTGGCCCCAGCTGGAGAAGGCCCACTCTACACAGAGCTGTTGGTTACAGGCCTGGGTGTCTACTGGCCGTTTGGCGAGTTGTGTACACAGATCATTGGACACAGGGGTGGAGACCCCAGAGGCTTTTAGCTTCTGGCAGGTCACCCGGCGGGTCTGGACACCTCCCCCACAGCTCCGGGTACAGGCAGACCAGGAGGTCACCATCCACCTGGGGAGAGGAAGAAGAATCAGGGCAGGTGCAAAGGTTCAGGCATACACTCTCAGAAAAAAGAACCTGTACATCCCCTTGTTCTCACCACACAGGTACTAATTCTGGGGCATGGCCCTTTTCATGGTATACATGGAGTGGAAGGCTAAAAATGGTCCCCCAAAAGAACTACGTCAGATCCCCAGAACCTAAGAATGTTACCATATTTGGACAAATGATCTTTGCTGTTCTAATTAAGGATTTTGAGATAAGATTATTCTACATTATCTGCCTTCACAAATGTCCTTGTAAGAGAAAGAGAAATTGGAAAAGAGGAGGGGACAGTGTGACCACAGAGGCAGAGGCTAGATTAACATGGCTGCAAGTTGAGGGATGCCTGGAACCAACAGAAGTTGCAGGGTTTGAGAAAGTTTCAAGGGGTGCAGCCCTGCTGACATCATGGTTTTGGACTTCCAGCCTTCAAAACTGTGAGAAAATAAATTATCTATTCTTTTCAGCCACCATGTTTGTGGTAATTTGTAATGGTGGCCACAGGAAAAAAATACTCTTTGGAAATTGGCTGCACAGGTGCATCTTGAAAAAGCAGTCTGAAGAGGGCCAAGTTCCCTCTGGCTCTGTGGAGCAGTGTCCCACCTCCATGAGTCACAGTGCACAGGTTTGATGCCTCCTAGAGGGCTGCATATGTGGAGAATGTCATTCTCAGGATGTTAGGTTCCAACTACAAATTTGGATGCTCAGAAGTGAGACTGACCAAGGCTGTGCAAATGGCTTTTCTCATAAAGCCAGGCTGGAACTGGGGAAACACTCCGAAATCCTTGTTCCAGATATAAACCCGGAGGAGTTCCCTGTGCATATTTGCACTGTGGGCTAGTTCTCAAAGAGAAGGGGAAAGGGGGACAGGGGGAAATAGAAGAGCTTTAGGGCTTTCCAGACATTTTATGCAATCTAGGGAAAAAGATAATTCTTGGGTTTTAATACTTGAGACAAGGTTGATCTAAATGAAATGGTTGAATGGCCAGCTGGGTCAAAGCAGGACTTCTCAGACTATTCAGAGACAACCAGGGTGACACTTGTTTGTGTTCAGATAAGGCTGGTGAGGTGCCTGAGACGCCTGGCAGGGACACACCAGTCAAAGATGAACCTGTGGCCACTTCCCAGTCCAGGAGTGCCACATCTGGCTCTTGGGAGAGACAAGTAGCAGAACCAGGGAGTGAATTCCTTTTGTATCTGGATCTGTGACTTATTTAGTTTGGTGGAACTTCCCTGCTCCATTTGCCCTGGAGAGAGATGACTGCATGCAGATCTCCAACCCACAGGAGCAGAGCCACTTAGGAAGCAGGCATGAGGTGTTACAAAGCTCCTGGGGGCACTGAAATCCAAGCAGACATGGCCATTATTTCATTTGCAGAAGTAAATGAGGCTGATTGACTCTGACCATCACCACGGCAAATCAAAAAGTCCTTGGCATGTCCAAGACTTCGTCTTCATTTCAAATAGCTTGGCGAGGGCAGTCTTCCAGCCCCATATATCCCCGGTGAATGTCAGGCCTGCATTTCAATCAACTTTTATTTCTAAATATACATTTCAGCAATTTTTCAGGAGCTGGGGTGGGGGGTTTGAGAAAGGAGAGGTATGGCTATGTTACAGTTCAGGAAGGGTATAAAAGGACATTAATCATTCCCATGGAAACCTTCCCGTCAGCAAGTCAAACTGCTGATATTAATGAGCGTGTTTCATATTTCATTGAGTCTCTCCTGGTTTCAGCTGCTCCTTATGACTCAGCTGGCAAAACACAAAGTGGTTGCCTAAGTAGTGTAGGAAAGTCCCACGGATAGGTAGGAAGGGGGCACTGCAAGGCCCAGCCAAGTCCCCCCAGGCTCTGGATGCCATACCGGTGCCAACTCTAAGTCCATCCATTATCCCTTTAGCTACTGTCTGCAAAGTGGGGGTAGGGTGCTCTATGGGACACCGGGCTTCTCAAAGCTACAAGAGGCAGACACGGTGGTGGGTGTCACTCTGGGGCCAGAGGCAGAGAATGCATATCCAACATGGAGGCAACTATGGAAAATGAAGATTTATTTTGACTTTAGCAGGATGCAACCCTTTGAAGAAAAAAATTGGACAAGACTTCCTCACCTCAACCAGAGTACCGATTAGCACAATTTTTGAACTTAGAAGGAAGAGGAGGGACTGGGGTAGAGGCCAGGAACCCCTATCCCCTTAGGACCTCAATTACAAACACAGTTGTCATCTCACAAACAAATCAGAGAGCAAGCTTCTTACTGCAGGATGCGAGCTAGGGCTGGCTAGGGCCTGGGATGCCTCTGCTTCCTGAACAGAACCTCTCAGGCACTTGGGATGCCCCGGGCAGCCCTTAGCCTGAGTGGTGAGGACAAAAACTGCCCAGGGAGGAGAGCCATTCTGAGGGGTATCTTCTGTAGGGTGGAGAGACCTGACAAGTCTGTGCCTAGAAAAAAGTGCCTTGGATGGCAGGTCCCCTTGCTGGCACACTATGTCTCTTCCTGTGCAGTGCTGGACCAAGGCTAGCCACTGACTTGGCTAAAGGTTGGGGCCCAGCTTTGGGGCCCAGCTTTGGGGAGGCCTAAGCCAGCATCTGCTACACTCACCGAGAAGGGCAGTCTCTCCGGTTGCAGGCGATGGGCTGCACAGCAGGGCGCACCTTCCCTGCGCAGTGAGTGGGGTTGACCTCTGTGCTGTTCAGGAGACACCTCAGGCGGGGCTGCTGAATGCCCCTGTTACCACAGGAGGCCGAGCAGGTTGCCAGTCTGTCCACAGACCACCAGTAATCTGTCATAGAAGGAGAATCAGAGGTGAAAAGAAGATTGCATTGTTGCCTATGTTCTGTGGGCATGAGGAGCTCTTATGAATGAGACTCTGTCCTTGAGTGGGCTTCATTCCCAGCTTAGGCAGGCGAGTGGTACGGTGTCCAGGAGCCTCTGGTGGCTTATCCATAAAACGAGAACAAAACCCCTACCTTGCAAAGTCGTGAAGGCTGGGTATAATGAAAGCAAGGGCCTAGCCCGGTGCTGGCACACAGAGAGTACTTAATCAGTGGCTGTAGTCCCTATTTTTAAATACATTTCTAAAGTATTTTTTCTTTCTAGTGGGTCACCAGTTGGACTTTCTTTTCCAACAAAGAGATACAAAAATATCAGATACTTAACAATCATATTTATATGTGTACATTTGAGTTGGACTTTGTAAATGTTACCAAAAAAAAAAAAAAAAAAAAAACCCAAAAAACCCCAGCCTACCCAGAGAGTCCTCATTTATATGAGATTATGACGTGAGGAAGAAATTCAATTTTTTAGAATTTTCTATTTGGGGGTCTGGGACTCACTGGTAGGAAAGCTGTTAAAAATAACTGTGGGCTGGTAAACTGGGAGTGCTTATTTGCAAGGTCGTATATTACAAATCTTGCAGATAGGCACTGGCTTCTGGTTTTCAGCAGAGAATGGCTGGTTGGCAAGAAAATGGAACATTTACTTTCCTGTCTGGAAAGCCAAATGGCAGGGGAGGATGCTTAAAGGGAAAATCCATTTGCTCAGAAAAATCTCCCTTCTCATGTGCTACATTGGTGCAAAATTCTGTCCCTTCCCAAAGAATCCTTCATTTTAGAATGCATGCAATAGAATTTTGCATTCCCTAAAAATAATCATAAATAGGCCACAGGTAGAAATAGCTCATGGAAAGCTTGAAAGCCTCACTTAATTTCTAAAGGAAGGCTCAGTTTGGGTTTGTTTCTTACTGTTTTAGGCCCATTCACAACTCTTTCTTGGTATAGCTAAAGCGAAGCCTCTGCCAAGAGCTTTTTAAAAAATTTTTTTTTAAAATTTAAATTCAATTTGCCAACATACAGTATAATACCCAGTACTTGTCTCATCCTCTGCCCTCCCTAATGGCTGTTACCCAGTCACCCCATCTCCCACCCACTCTCCTTCTGCAATCCTTTGTTTGTTCCCAGAGTTAGGAGTCTCTCATGGTTTGTCTTCCTTGCTTATTTTTCCTCCCAAGGGCTTTCTCACCTGCCCGTGTTCCTAGAAAGTTAATGCACGAGCCACACAGTCTGTTTTTTGATGGGGTCACAGAAAGGTGCCTACAAAACACTTAAGCACGTGACTGCAGCTGAAGACTCTTTAGCAAGATAAAGAGGTACTGGTACCAGTTTGATTCTCCGGTAGAGGAAGCAATAACCAAGCAATTCAGATCAAGAGGTTTTTTTTTTTTTTTTTTTTTCAGTCAAGCCAACAGAGAAAAAGTGTATGCATTAGTTTAATAGGCTACTTTGCACACATGCGTACGTGAAATTCTTATTAAACAAACAAAAATGAAACTCTTTTGGCTTTGATATATCACAGTGTTTCCTTGGTCCTCAGTGGCAGCAATGTTATGAAGTAGAAGGGCCTGTTTATGAAAGCAGCTCTGATTTTTCCAGAGTCTGCTGGGATGGTGCCTGGTGGCTCTTCTGAAGGGCCTCATCATATGGAAACATGGTTCAGCTTTGATTTTCATGCCCTAGGAACCACTGAAATCAGAAATCACTTTGTTTCATTTGAGAATTAGATTCTCTGGTGGACTTTCTCATTCAAGAAATAAACCCGGCAGCAGAGCCTGAAGGATTTCTTACCTTGGATCACTAAAGAGGCCTTCTGTATGAGTATTCCTGCCTCATTCTGAGCAAGGCAGCTGAATTCCCCTTGAGACCCGCCACTAAGATTTGCAACCTGGAGAATCTGTCCAGCTGCCAAGACATGATGTGTCAGTCCTGGGACAGTGGCAACTGGCTGACCACCATGGAACCAGGTGATATTGGGGGTAGGGTGGCCTTTGATGGGACAGCCTAGAAGGAGAGGAAGAGAGAGAGAGAAGACATTAATAAAGTGAAACGGGATATATACCTGATGAGTTGTTTTAGTATCTGTGGCTTAGAAGCCATGCATACAGTGTAGTCTCTACCTATGGCACTTTTTGTATGCTTGCCATTTCCAAGCCAAAGGATGTTTCTACCCAGGAATTTTGGGAAGGTGACTATTATTCATTCAGTTAAGTAAAAATTCTTAGAGTACACAAAGTACCTATTTCTATATCCTCGTACTAACATTTTTAAAAATGAAGGAATTAATATTCACTCACTGAACATTTTTCAAGTTAATTAGTTCCTATACTGTTTTTATACTAAGAGAAATCAGTTCTTCAAATGCAGCGAGTTGGAAAAAAATTCTATGTAGTAATAGTTAAGAATCAAACTTTAATTGGTTAAGGTCTAATATTTGCCACTATTTTACTGTTTATGTGATTTTCAAGCCTAAGTTTTTCAACAGAATCTAGGAAAATACTTGTAAACATTGATTTCATTTTTCTGTCAGTTAAGAACCTTGGCCTTCTAACAACTCTTACCAAGCACTGGACATATACTTCTCTTCATAGTCACTGAACATATTTTGATATGTTAAAATTCTAAAATATTAAACTTACATACTATGTCTACCCAGGCTTTTTTTTTTTTTAAGATTTTATTTATTTATTCATGAGAGACACAGAGAGAGAGGGACAGAGACACACACAGGCAGAGGGAGAAGCAGGCTCCATGCAGGGAGCCTGATGTGGGACTCGATTCCAGTACTCTGGAATCACGCCCTGAGCAAAGGCAGACACTCAACCACTAAGCCACCCAGGCATCCCTCTACCCAGAATTATTAAAGTAAACTAATTGCAATTGTGAGAAAAAACTAATTTTCTCTAAATTCAGAGTACTTGCTGAATTTGCTGTTGTGTCTTCCACAACTTATCTTCTACAGAAAATGTATTTGGATGTTTACTTTTTATTTTTTTTTAATTTAAATTTTAGGTAGCTAACATACAGTGCAATATTGGTTTCAGGAGTAGAATTCAGTAATTCATCACTTACATACAATACACAGTGCTCATCATAACAAGTGCCCTCTTTAATACCCATCACTCATCTAGCCCATCCCCCACCCACTCCCTCCATCAACCCTCAGTTTGTTCTCTATCATTAAAAGTGTCTTATGGCTGATTTCCCTCTCTCCTTTTTTTCTTCCTCCCTTCTCATATGTTCATCTGTTTTCTTTATTAAGTTTCACATGAGTGAGATCATATGGTATTTGTCTTTCTCTGACTTATTTCACTTAGCATAATATACTCTAGCTCCATCCATGTCATTGCAAATGGCAAGATTTCATTCCTTTTAATGGCTAAGCAATATTCCATTGTATATATATCACCTCTTCTTTATCCATTCATCAGTAGATAGGCATTTGGGCTCTCTCCATCATTTGGCTATTGTTGATAATGTTGCTATAAACATTGGGGTGTGTTGTCTCCCTTCGAATCTGTATTTTTGTATCCTTTGGGTAAATACCTATTAAGTAGTGCAATTGCTGGATCATTGGATAGTTCTATTTTTAATATTTTGAAGAACCTCTACATTGTTCTCTATAGTGGTTGCACCAGCTTGCACTCCTACAGCAGTGCAAGACGGTTCCTCTTTCTCTGCATCCTTGCCAACACCTGTTTCTTGTGTTGTTAATTTTAGCCATCCTGACAGGTGTAAGATGGTATCTCATAGTGGTTTTGATTTGTATTTCTCTGATGATGAGTTATGTTGTATCTGATAGCCATGTGGATGTCTTTTTTGGAAGTGTCTATTCATGTCTTCTGCTCATTTCTTAACTGAGTTATTTATTTTTTGGGTGTTGAGTTTGATAAGTTCTTTGTAGCTTTTGGATACTTACTCTTTATCAGATATGTCATTTGCAAATATCTTCTCCCTTTCTGTAGGCTGCCTTTTAGTTTGGTTGATTGTCCTTTTCTGTGCAGAAGGTTTTTATCTTGATGAAGTCCCAATGGTTTATTTTTGCTTGTTTCCCTTGCCTCTGGAAATGTGTCTAGCAAGAAATTGCTATGGATGAGGTCAAAGAGGTTTCTGCCTTTGTTCTCCTCCAGGATTTTGATGGTTTCCTATCTCACATTAAGGTCTTTAATCCATTTTGAATTTATTTTTGTGCATGGTGTAAGACAGTGGTCCAGTTTTATTCTTCTGCATGTGGCTGTCCAGTTTTCCCAGCACCATTTGTTGAAAAGACTTTTTTTCTATTGGATATTTTTTCCTGCTTTGTCAAAGATTAGTTGAACATACAGTTGTGGGTCCATTTCTGGGTTCTTTATTCTGCTCCATTGATCTTTATGTCTTTTTGTGCCAGTACCATACTGTCTTGATGACTACAGCTTTGTAATATAGATTGAAATCTGTAATCATGATGCCTCCACTTTTGTTTTTCTTTTTCAGAATTACTTTGGCTATTCAGGATCTTTTGTGGTTCCATAAAAATTTTAGAATTATTTGTTCTAGCTCTGTGAAAACTGCTGGTGGCATTTTGATTGGGATTGCATTAAATGTGTAGATTGCTTTGGGTGGTACAGACACTGTAGCAATGTTTGCTTTTCTAATCCATGAGTATTTGTGTCCTCTTTAATTTCTTTCCTAGGTATCTTATTATTTTTGGTGCAATTGTAAATGGGATCAATTCCTTGATTTCTTTTGCTGCAGCTTTGTTACTGGTGTATAGAAATGCAACAGATTTCTGCACATGGATTTTATATCCTATGACTTTGCTTAATTTATGTATGTGTTCTAGCAATTTTTTTTTGTGGAGTATTGGGTTTTCTACATAGAGTGTCATGTCATCTTCAAATAGTGAAAATTTGACTTCTTCCTTGTCAATTCAGTGACCTTTACTTCTTTTTTGTTGTCTGATTGCTGAGGCTAAGCCTTCCAGTACTATGTTAAGTAGTAATGGTAAGAGTGGACATTCTTCTTGTCTTGTTCCTGACCATAGGGGAAAGGTTCCTGACTACAGGGGAAATATCACTGAGGATGGTATTAGCTATGGGTCTTTTGAATATTGGGGGAGACATTGTTAGAATTTGTATAGGATGCAGAATTAACACAAGAAAGGTCCTTAGATATTGTCTAGCCTTGTGAGAAAGGAAACTGAGGCCTTGAGATGTTAAGACAATTCAAGATCAAGTGACACGCCTTCTGATTCCTTACCATGTGTTCTTTTTCTCATGCCTGCTACCTGTTCAGCTGGGCATCAGCAGTTTTACCTAGGCACCTTGTTATCTTCTTCCTTTGTCTGCTCATTCTTTTTGTCCCCCCCCCATCTATCCCCCTCCTTTTTTACATTTTCATAGCAATTGTTTCATTGAAATGCTTATAGCAGACTACTTTGAAGAAGGGCCCTGGAAAAATAATGCTAACACTGACTATAAGAAGTTCAGTATGGAATATTATTGTTACAGAACACTGTTCTTTATTCCTCCCTGTATTTTTTTTTTTTTTTTATTCCTCCCTGTATTGACTCACTTTGCCATGTAACTTTGCAGTGGCCTTTGATGATAGGTGGGCTGTACTTTCCCACCTCCTGATTTTGGGTTTGGCCATGTGACTACTTTGGCCAATAAAATGAATCAGATGTTATACTAATAATATGAAAGAGAAATTAAGAAAACAATTCCATTTATAATAGTATCAAAAAGAATAAAATACTTAAGAATAAATTTAACCGAGGATGGAAAATGTGTACACTGAAAACTATAAAATGTTGCGGAGACTATGTTATGTTAGGAAGGGGATTAGAAAAATTAATATAGTGAAGATGTCAATACCTCAAATGAACTATAGATTCAGTATAATCCCTATTAAAATCTCAATGACTTTTTCCTTTTTTTTTTTTCAGAGATAGAATAATCCATCTGTTAAGTTTATATGGAATCTCAAGGGATACTGAATAGCCAAAATAATCTTGAAAAAGAAGAACAAACTTGGAGGTTTCATACTTCCTGATTTCAAAACTTAGTATAAATCTACAGTAATTAAAACATTACAGTACTGGCATAAAGACATATAGACCAATGGAATAAAATAGCCCTCAAATAAACTCTTGCTTATATGCTCAAACAACTTCTAACATGGATGCCAGGACCACTTAATGTGCTGGGAAAATGAGATATCTACATGCAAGAAAATGAAGTTGTAGACTTACCTCACACCATATACAAAAATTAACTCAAAGGGATCAAAAACTTAAATCTTAGAGTTAAATGTATAAAACTCTTTTTTTGAAAAAAATATTTATGAGAGAGAGAGAGAGAGAGAGAGAGAGAGGCTGAGACACAGGCAGAGGGTAAAGCAGGGCTCCATGCAGGGAGCCTGATGTGGGACTCAATCCCGGGACTCCAGGATCATGCCCTGGGCAGAAGGCAGGTGCTAAACTGCTGAGCCACCCAGGGATTCCCCAAAACTCTTAAAAGGAAACATAAGCAGAAGCTTCATGATATTGGATTTGGCAATGAGTTCTGGGATATGATACTAAAAGCACAGGGCAACAAAAGACAAACTGGACATCATCAAAATTGAAAGTTTTTGTGCATCCAAGGACACTATCACCAGAGTGAAAAGGCAACCCACAGAATGGGAGAAAATATTTGCAAATCATAGATTTGATAATGGATTAATGTCCAGAATATATAAAGAATTCCTATAACTCAGTAATAAATATAAACAGCCAAACTAAAAAATGGGCAAAAGACTTGAATAGACATTTCTCCAAAGATATAAAAATGGCCAATAAGCACATGAACAGATGCTTAACATCACTAATTGTTATAGAAATGCAAATCAAAACCACAATGAGATATAAATCATATCCAGTAGAATGGTTATTTAAAAAAACAAAAATGACAACAGAAAATAACCAGTATTGGTGAAGATGTGGGGAAATTAGAATTCTTGTGCATTGCTGGTGGGAATGTAAA